AGAGGTACTTTATCACTGAGCTCCATCCCCAGCCCACATTTATTTATTTATTGTGGGTAGTGGTGGTGGTGGTGGTGGTGGTGGTGGTGGTGGTGGTGATTGAACCCAGGGCCTTGTGCATGGTAGGCAAGACTCTACAAACTGACCAGCCCGTTTTTATTACTTGAGTCATACTCCTGCTAAGTTGCTGAGGCTGGCCTTGAACTTCCGATCCTCCCGTCTCAGTCTCCCAAGTCCCTGCGTTTTCAGGCTTGTGCCACTGGCACCGCTGAATCCCTGCAGTTTCATGAGAAAGTTCTCCTGAGTTTGGGTTTCAGCTCAGCAGTTCTGAGGCAGTCTGTCTTTCAGCACTCACTGGACAGTAAATCACTGCAACCTGAACAGCAGTAGAGCATGGGAGGTGGAGGGAGGGAGAGAAGGGGAACTTCATGGCTGAGTTCTCCCTGTGAACCTGGCCATTTGTTGCCCAGTCTCGTTAATCCTCATTGCATCCCTGAGGGATACCAGGAGGCTGTTAGCTTGCTTCTGTCAAGGCTAAAGTGGCTTAGGGACTTAAATCACCCTCTGTCTCTACATTTTTTTTGCTCATTGAGCTGGTTCCCACCTCCTTAGGGGGACCTTAAACTCAGTTCCTGTGCATCGATATTTTCTCACTTAGGTTTCCTAACCAAATCATCCAGTGTCTTTCTGACCCTTTCCCCCACCACCACCACCAAGTTTAAACACAAAGGCCCAAAAGTTCCTCAGCTTTCTGCCCAGTATACTGCGATACATGGTGATTTGTTACGGTGGAAACCAGTATCTTCAGAGCTCTTTTTGTGGACCCACAGTAGGGAGGAGAAGGGCTGTCTGCCAGTCCTTCTTGTGACTCACCATCTGCTTCACTCTATGTGGCTCTCCCGGGTGTGCTGTGGACATAGAACGGCCTTGGGGGCCTGCATCAACTGAGGAGGGGTAATTCAGTTAGAGATGGCCAAGATGGGACCTTGCCTTTAGGGGACTTTTCATCCAGTGAAAGAGGCGTTTTCAGCAAGATGTTTACAAGAGTAATATATGCACATGGGGCTTCCCGGGCTTCTGTGGAAATGAGTTCTGAATGAAGACGTGGGCAGCCAGGTGAAGGATGTGAGCGAGACGGGGCTGGGCAGGGAGTAGCAGGAAAGGACCCAGGCCTCAGGTTGAATGTTGAGTGTGAATACTGCATCAGAGGATGGAGCTTCTCAGTAGGTACCTCACTCCTCCTCTGGAGGAGTCTCGTGGGGAGGGAGCTCTGCTCTCCGATACCCCACAGCTCCCAGATTGGTGCTCGGCCTTGGGGTGGCACCTCTGCTGCCACACTCCACTGCTCGTGGCGCTCTCCTACCAGCCCTGGCTTATAGCTGCCGTATGTGCTGTAGCTAGAATGTACCAAGGGAGTTATGCCCTTCTCTCTCCTCAGCAGATAACTGAGAGTGAGTCGTTTTAATCCCCCTCTCAGAGCTTACATTTGAAGCTCAGACTAAGCAAGCGCTTACCAAAGCCCTAGACCGAGGCCAGTGAGCTGCGCTGCAGGGGCCGAACGTGGGCTCATCCCGTTCCAAGGGGAGGCCTTCCTCGAATGAAAGGTCATGCACATGGACAGGGCCAAAAAGCACTTGGCTTTGGAACATCTGTGTGGGAAAAGCTACAATTAGAAGACAGGTGGGGCACTAGGAATCGAACCCAGGGCTTCATACATGCTAGGCAAGTGCTCTACCCCTGAGCTGTACCCACTGCCCTTTTTAAATTTTATTTTGAAATAGGGCCTCACTAATTGACCAGGCTGCCCTTGAACTTGGATCCACTTGCCTCAGCCTCCCAAGTAGCTAAGATTACAGGTGTGTGCTACCTTACCTGGCTAGTGTCCTCCTTTATTTTGTTTTATTTTTATTTTTTTGTGGTGCTGAGAGAAGTTGAAACTCGGGGCCTTACCCATACAAGGTAAGCGCTTTACCATTGTGTCATCAATCCTTCTTATTTTTTATTTGTTTGGTTTAGTTTTATTTTCAAGAGAGGGTCTTACTAAGTGACCTAGGCTAGCCTCAGACTTGTGGTCTCCCTGCCTGAGCTTCCTGAATCTATCTGATTACAGACATGTATCAGGCTTGGGCTTTCTTTTTAGATGTGCGTGCGTGGTATTTACTGTGAAACCATGCTGGCCCAGGACTCCACTTTAACTCCTGAAGGGATTGATACGCAATCCCAGTGTGGGCTCCTACATGTGTGTGCACTGTGTGCCCCGATATTGGCCAGGGGTGAGGATATGACCTCATCTCATAAGATTCCTACCTGTAGAAAGTGCCGCAAGGATGTAGTCTTTCTAGAAAAGTTCAAAAGGCCATTGACAAGAAAGAAACATGAAGATCAGAATTCAGGGAGGTAGGGCTTCCTTGAAGAGGGACATGTCCTCAGGCAGGCAGGGGAATGAAGCTCAGTTGATCACATGTACTGAACTTGTCAACATCAATCTCCCTGTGCACTGAGGTACAGGTGGAAGATGCTGTCTGTTTGGTAAAAAGAAACATTTATGGAAATGTCACCAAGAATGTAAAGTAGAGCGCACCTCTAGTGCCATGTGAGGATCACAGGCCGAAGGACTGGGAAAAACGGGAGGGGAAAGTGTTGTCAGTCAGATGGTCAAGGACACCCTCAGAGGGGCAGGAGTGCATGTGTCCGCCACATCTGAGGGACAGCAAGAGTTCAAGCTCAGCAGAGGGGAGTCGGGTCATTGGACGGTAGGATGGGACAGTAGTGATTGTTACAGTGATTACAATAGTGATAGTACTGCCTCAGCCACGACAGGGCTTGGAGTCAGTCCAGGCAAACACCCAAGAGTCTGTTTGCTTCTCCAGCATAGCACTGTAGGACCAGGGCTGGGAGGACTGCCACTTTTCCTGTCCTGAAAAGGACACAGGAACATTTTTATGAATGAATGCAGTTTTCTTGCTAAGAAGGCATTCTAAAATGTATAGAGAAAATAAAGGTCCATGTAGCCTCTGCACCATAAGGTAGTGTGTATAGCCTTTCACACATTCCCCAGGTTTCTAGGATGATAAGTGCCAGCTACTGGGCATGAGCGGCCAGAGCCCGTATGGAGCTTCATAGTGAAGAATCCACCTTTAGCATCTTGGCTGGTCCTGAATGTGTCATTTGGGGATGTTTTGTTTTGTCCAGTACTGAGGATTGAACCCAAGAGCTCCCTACCACTGAGCTACATCCCCAGTCTTTTATTTCTTACTTTGAGGCAGGGTCTCCCTGCATTGCCCATGCTGGTTCAAACTTACTATCCTCCTGCCTCAGCTTCCCAATTCACTGGGATTACAAGTGTGCCCCCCCACCCCCCGTCGCCCCTGCACAGCTTGAATATATCAACTTCTAATGAGGCACATGCAGTCATTTGGAAGGACTGCCCTTTGCTGTCCACAGAGCAGAGCTGACACCAGGACCAATGAGGCACACTCCTGAACTGAGCCCTGTTCTCAGAGCAGTGCCCCCTCGGGATGGGCACAGGGCTGGGCCACAGCTGGGGAGTCCCAAATCGATCCTGCTAGAGAAAGGACCCTCAGGTGACAGGCAACACCTCAGGACCTCAGAGTGACTAAAACAGCATGTATAGCACGTGATCCAGATCTGGCCTATCTGCCCTTCGGCTTGGGTCGCCCCCGTGCTCTGTGCACTGCTTCTTTGCTCTGCCCACAAGTAGAGCCAGCTTTCCAGGTGGTCCGTCTGTTTTCAGGGGTCACCTGTGCCTGAAGCACTGGGCTGGTTGGTAGCTCTCTCTTGCTGCTATATAAAGATGGAACTTGAGTTATTTTGAGCAGCAGAATACAATGCAGAGAATTGACTGGGATCCCCAGTCCAAGGCAGGCTCTAAAAGAAAAGTATTAGGTTTTCATTGCACTTCATAAGAAAATGCATCCATGCTTTTTGCCTGGTGACTTTACTCATATATCATTTCCATAATGTGCATACGTTAAATACTCCATGCTATTAATAGGAGGAAGTATCAGTTACTTAGTGTCTGCACTATCTTGAATAGCGCTCATCATTCATTTGATACCCCCATTTTACAGATGAGGAAGTGCAGTATTTGCGCTTGGGACTGGTGAGCTCCTCAGATCCCTAAGCACAAACCAGCTTCTTTCTTCCTACCACATCTTCTGCATGCTCCCCCTCCTTTTACTGAGTTTTGCACTTAGTTCCCTTTATTATCAAAGTGTCTTGTGGCTCTCCACAGGTCAGAGGCTGCTCCTCTGACCATGAGGTGGTTATTTCATGCTCTTTGTTAAAAGTACAAGGTGAGAGGGCATCATTCCTAGAAAAGCAGCTTTCCCTGGGAGCCTCCCAGGAACACTTCCAGAGGCTTCTCTCAAGCCCACCAAGCTACCTTGTGGTTCAGCCCCTTGGAGGAAGCAGGTGAAAGGCACTCTGATTTCCTTCAGGCTTCTCTTTGGTGGCTCCACTGTGAGGGATCCCACTAGTCATTGGGGAAAGCATTTGTATCTTTAAGTTCTAATCATTTAGGGCAGAGATTCTGCAGCATTGGTTTTACGAATCACCCAGGGAAGCTGGGCGTGGCAACGTACATCCCTAGTCCTTGCTACACGGGAGGTGGAGACAGGAGAATTACTTGAGCCCAGGGATTCAAGGCAACATAGTGAGACCCCGTCTTAAAAAGAACCTTTGAAGGGCTTTAATAACACAGCTTGCGGGACCCGCCTCCAGTCGGGGTCCTGGGATGCTGCTACTGCTGGAGATGGAGGACGTTCTTAGAAAACCACTGTTCTGAGGTTTTTAGCAAAACGCCCCTCTTGAAAGTTGCCCTCCGTACCACTCTGCTTCACCTTGACAGTGTTAGAGAAACTGAGGCCGCCCTCTGGCATTCAGTGAGACCCTTGTCGTTGGCCTCTGAACTAAAACAGCGGTGGGGTTCTTTCTCCTCTTGAGCACATGAGGCTCACCCTGGGTACCTGGTGTTTCAGGTGGTGCGAGCTGCTGAGGAGGCTGCCTCCACACTAGCCAGTTCCATCCACCCAGAGCAGTGCATCAAAGTGCTCTGCCCCATCATCCAGACAGCCGACTACCCCATCAACCTGGCCGCCATCAAGATGCAAACCAAAGTCGTGGAGAGAATCGCCAAGGAGTCCTTGCTGCAGCTCCTCGCCGACATCATCCCGGGCCTGCTGCAGGTGAGCTGCTCCCGGGTCACATGGTCTTTGCTGCCCTCCTTCACTGGCCTGCAGGTAGGAAAACCGCAGGTGGAAACCCTCTGTTTAGGACCTGCATCTTCTAGTCTGCCCGCTTCTGGTGCAGCAGGAAGGTAGGCACCTGGCAGCCCAGAACTGTGGCTCACAGAATGGACTTTTCTGTTTATGGTAAACATATTTTGATTTTGTTCATTCCTTCAACAGATCCTTGTTGCAAACCTCCTGTGGCTCCAGCCCTAGGCAAGGAGTGTGACTCAGACAGGGTCCTTGCTTTCATATGCCCAACAAACATTTACTTCTTCTAAGTGGGAGGCAGTGAACTAGGCATCCTCTGACAGGCAGAAGACATGTGTGGTCCCACCTCAGGGGCTTTCAGCCTGTCATGTGACATCATGCAGCCACATGGCTACTACAAGTGACAGTGTCATGTGCTGCATCACAGTGGAGGAGTGGTTTCCATTTTGTGGGGATGGGAGAGAGGATTTCTGTGGGTAAAGGTAGAAAGGAATTTATTAAGTAGCTAGCCTCCCATTTAAAAAATGCCGCTGTTGACTGAGCATTTGGTGGGAATTTGGATACTTAGTTGGGGACTAGATCATTCCAGAGGGAAAGGCATGAAAGTGGAAAAGTCACCAGGGTTCTTTGGAGACCGGCAGATAGGCCCATTTGGGTTTGGTGCAGGGATAAGTCAGACAGGGAGACTGAGCATGCGTCACACAGGGGCATGGGCAACTCTAGCAATCACTGGAGGACCGACAGCTTTCACCTATGATGGTGAATGATGTAGTTCTCATTTCTTTCTTTCTTTTTTTAGTTTCTTTTGCAGTTGTAGATGGACAGCAGGCCTTTATTTTATTTATTTTTATGTGGTGCTGAGCATGGAACCCAGTGCCTCACACATGTGAGGCAAGCGCTCCACCACTGAGCCACAGCCACAGCCCTCTCGTTTCTTTAACAGTATTTTCACACATGAATTTGCTTTAGCATTGTGAGAAGTGTGAATGAAACCAGTATTTTTTCCCTTAATTTTGCTTTCTCAATTCATCTCTGTCGTGGTATCTTTTTAGTGGTGGCATATTACAGAGCAGCTCTGTGTGGTGGCAGACAGATTGCACTTACCCCTTCTTGCCTCTGCACCCCACCCACCAGGTCACTCTTAACACAAGTCAATTTTAACTCCTTTCAGGTGAAAACCCTCGGGATTCAGTTGCAGGTCTTAGGTAGGTCCTGATGGTGACTGACACGTCCAGGGTTGAAATATGAGGGTGTTGGTGGAAGTGTTGCTGAGGCATTAACTATGAAGCAAGCCTTTGATCTGATTTCCTTTTTGTGTCCCCCTTGGCTTCTAGGGTTATGACAACACGGAAAGCAGTGTGCGGAAGGCCAGCGTGTTTTGCTTAGTGGCAATTTATTCCGTAATCGGAGAAGACCTGAAACCTCACCTCGCACAGCTCACGGGGAGCAAGGTATGTACAGTGTTACCTGGCTGACACCCACACCTGGGCCCTGCCAGCTTGACGTGAGCCTGCTCTGTGGTGGCACTGGGTTCCAGACTGCTTCTTCTCATCGGGTATGTTTCAGCTGGGCCTTATTTCTCAAAAAGCATGTTTTAAGATGAAAATGGCCAGCCATGTAGTGAAGTTTTAAGAGAATGCTAACATGATACATCATCATCTATTTTAACTCCTGCTTTTGCAAAATAAATTCACTTTTATTTTACTCACAGGAGAAAGACAACTTTATTCAGAAACGAGCTTGGTTTCTCACAGGAGCACTAAGGAAATTTACATAAGTGCTTAACAGATTGCTGAATCAGAGCGGAGTCCTTTGTGGGCATTGACAGTAGTAGTGGCCGTTTCCTGGTGCCCACCATTGCCCCAGGAGCTGGTCCACACTCTTGGCATATTTTCACTTGTGTTCCTCATGACATCCCTATGAGATAAGGATGATTGTCCTCTCTGGCCTGCTCAAGGGCACACAGAGGTCGGACTCCAGGACCTGGATTCTTACTCTGCTGCCACTTACACTCCTTTAAGAGTGTTTTAGACTCAGGAAGCTCTGACGCTCAGGTTATTCCATTTTGAATGGTCCATCCACTTGGGGTTAATGTTTGTATATTGGTATTAGGGAAGAGTTGAACTTCATTCTTTTGACATGCAGATACCTCTTTTCCCAGCATCATTTGTTAAAAATATTATCCTCTCCTCATTGAATAGTCCTGTCACCTTTTCAAAAATTGTTTGACTGTCTGCGAAGGTTCACTTGTGGGCTCTGTATTCTATCTCCTTGTTGTATGTCTCTATGCCAGTTCCACCCTGATTCGTTCACTGTAACTTTGTACTAAGTTGATTCCAGAGGTATGGGTCCTCCAGATTGGTCTTTTGACTATTTGGGATCTCTTGACATTCTATATGAATCTTAGGATTGGTTTTTCTAATTCAGCAAAAAAAAATCTCTTTGGAATTTTGATATATTGCATTAAGTCTATATATCATTCACATAATCAATCTTATTGAGTAATATTGACATCAAATGTCTTCTAGTCCAATGAACCTGGGATATTTTTCCACTTCTTTGCATAATCTTTCATTTCTTTCAGCACCCTTTTGTAGTTTTTTGTTGGTTTGGTTTGGTTTTTGTGGTACTGGATATTGAACCCAAGACCTCACACATTCTGGGAATGTACTTTCTCACCAAGCTATATATACCCAGCCTTTATTTATTTTTATTTTGAGACAGGGTCTCACTAAGTTGCCCAGGCTAACCTCAAACTTGTGGTCCTTGTGCCTCAAGCTTCACATTAGCTGAGATCACAAGCGTGCACCACTATCCCAGCAGCATATTATAGTTTTAATTGTGTGAGTCTTTTACCTCCTTGGTTAAGTCATTTCCTAAATATTTCAGGTTTTTTAATGCTATTATACATAACATTTTCTTAATTTTCTTTTTGGGTTGTTCATTGTTAGTGGAGGGGAATTTTTATTTATTTATTCTTATGGTGCTAGGATGGAACCCAGGGCCTCACACATGCTAGGCAAGTGCTCAACCACTGAGCCATCACCCCAACCTGCACATTATTTTTGCTTGGTTATTTTTGTACCGTCTCGGCTGAATTAATTTCTAACAGTTCTGACAGATTATGTGTGTGTGATCATTAGGGTTTTCTACATAAAAGTAATATCATCTACAAAGAAGATTTACTTCATTTCTCAGTTAGATGCCTTTACTTTGTTATTTTTTATTTTATTTTCTAATTGCTGTGGCTACAACATCTAGGACTGTGTTGGAGTGGTAAGAACAAGAGTCCCTACATTGTTCCTGATCTTAGAAAAGTTTTCAGTCTTTCACCATTGAGTATAATTTTTGTTGTGAGTTTTTTATATATGGCTTAATATGTCAAGATAAGGTTTTTTCTATTTCTAGTTTGAGTGTTTTTATCATGGAAGGTATATTATATTTTTCAGATGTTTTTCTGCACCAGTTAAAATAGTCACATCTTGGGGCTGGGATTGTGGCTCAGTGGTAGAGCGCTCACCTAGCATGTGCAAGGCCCTGGGTTTGATCCTCAGCACCACATAAAAATAAGTAAAATAAAGATATTGTGTCCAATTACAACTAAAAAAAATAAATATTTTTTAAAAAAATAGTCACATCTTTTTCTTTATTCTGTTAACATCGTATATTACAATGATTTTTTATAAGTTGAACCATTTTTGCATTCCAGGAATAAATCAATATATCTCATTTGGTCTTTGTATATAATATTTTTAATTTGCTGCTGAATTCTATTTGCTAGTCTTTGTTGAGAATTTTTCATCAGTGTTCATTAGAGATGTAGTTTTGTTATTAGGGCAGTGCTGACATTGTAGAATGAGTTTAGAAGCATTTTCCCCCTACTGTGTTTTGGAAAAATTTGAGGAAGATTGGTGTTATTTTTCTAAATGTTTGGAAGAATTCACCAGTGAAGTCATCTGGTTCAGGCTTTTACTTTTTGGAGATTTTTTTTGACTACTTCTTACTAGTTACAGGTCTGTTCGGAGTTTCTTTGTGATTCTGTTTTTGTTGTTTGTAGAAATTCATCCATTTCATCTAGATTATCCAGTTTGGGGTGTATAATTATTAATAATATTCCTATAACCCTTCTTATTTCCATTATTAGTTATAACGTACCCACATTCACTTCTGATTTTTATAATCTGCATCTTTTTTTTTTTTCCTTAGTCCACCTAGTTAAAAATCCGTCAACTTTGTTGATCTTTTCAAAAAACCAACTTCTAGTTTCATCTATTTTTTTCCTATTATTTTTCGGTTCTCTTTCGTCTCTGCTCTGCCTATATTATCTTCCTCTCCTGGATCGGATGTAGCTCTCGTTGATTTGAAGCTTGCCGTCTTCATTCAGGCACTCACAGCTCTACCCTCCCCTAGACAGAAACTTGGAATGCTGGGTGTTCTTTCATTTTCATTTCTCTCAAAATATTTTTGAATGAACCTTGTAGGGCTTTTTTGGTTTTTTGTTTGTTTTGCCTTAAAGGGGACTCTCCACCACTGAGCTACATCCCCAGCCCTTTTTAATTTTGAGACAGGCTCTTGCTAAGTTGCCCTGGCAGTTAATTTTCAATCCCCCAGCTCAGCTCCCCAGTGGCAGGTGTGCCCCGCCACACTCAGCTGACTCACTGACTTTTAAAAGTGATTTCCACAAATTTATAAGTTCTTCAGGTTTCCTTCTGTTATTTCTGACTTCATCTTACTATGGTTAGAGAAGATATTTGTTATGATATCTCTTAGAATCTGCTGAGAATTTGTGGCCCAACGTTTGGTCTACGCTGGGAAACATGCACTTGAGGAGAATGTGTGGGCCATTGTTGGGTGGAGAGTTTGGGCTCGGTCTGTTAGATCTGGTTTATTGTGTTGTTCAAGTCCTCTATTTCCTTGTCTTTTGTCTCATCATTCTAACCATATTGAGAGTGTGAAATGTCAAAGTCCCCAACTGTTACTGTAGAACTGTCTGTTGTATCCATTTTTGCTGCATATATTTAGATGATCTCTTATTATATAGTAAATGCTTAGGATTATTTTATCTTCTTGCTGTACTAAACTTTTTTGTCGATGTTGTCTATCTGGAGATTGAACCCAGGGTCACTTAACTCTGAGCCACATCCTCAGCTCTTTTTTTATGTTTTTTTTAAACAGGGTCTCACTAAGTCCTCAGGGCCACTAAATTGCTGAGTCTCGTCTCAAACTTGTGATCCTTCCACCTCAGCCTCCCAAGTTACTGGGGTTACAGGTGTGCACCACTGTGCCTGGCTGCATTCATCGTGTGTGTGTGTGTGTGTGTGTGTGTGGTGTGTGTGTGTGTGTGGGTGGGTGGGTGGGTGGGTGGGTGGGTGGGTGGTTTATAGCTGGTTTTACTTGTTTCTTAAAATAAATTTCTCACCAAATTAGAACTAGTCCTATTTAAACCACTGTACTTCAAGTCTTCCTGGTTGAAACATGGATCCTCTGTTACTTGTCTGATTTCATTGTGAAGTACACAGGGAACAAAGACTGATGTGTACGCCATGTCAAACTAATACTGTCACAGAATCAACAGAGCATTTTTTAATATCCAGAAAGAATATTTGTAACATTTGTGAAAATTTCAGTAAATGCCTAGGAATTTGTAGTTGATTCGGAAAGCTGGAATTGTCCTGCTTCAGATTTGTCCTTGAATTTTAAGTCTCTTTTATCAAAATATTTTATATTGGGCTGCCACCCCACAGTAGCTCCCTAATGTGTCTGCACGAATTCTTCATGCCCCAGCCCAGCTGCCAGGATGCTGTGATTTTCACCACAGTGCCTCACCCACTGCTGGGGGCAGCTGACCTCGAAGGAACTGTGGAGGCACCAGGAGATGGCCACGTCCTGGGTGGGGTGCCCAGGCATGGCCCACATGCCTGCCTCTCCTCCTGGAGGGCCTCACCTCACCCTGCCCCGCCCACTCTCCCTCAACCATCTATTATCCTCCTTTTTCTCTTACAATCTCTTTTGATTTAAAAGTTGTTTTTTTCTGATTCTTGCTCTCTCTGGTTACTATTTGCATAAATGTCATTTCCACTTTCAACCCATTTATCTTTGGATCTAAACTGAGTCTCTTATTGGCAGCATATAGTTAAATCAGATTTTTTCATCCATTTTGCCAATCTGTGTCTTGATGGGAGGGTTTAATCTGCTGATGTTTAGAGTTATTACTGATCAGGAGGGACTTCTGGCATTTTACTGTGAGCTCTTTGTTCCTCATTTTCCACATTACTGTCGTCTTTGGGTTTTTTAAATTTTTGTAGTGAAACATTTTGAATCCCTTCTCATTTCCTTTTGTGTATATTCTATAGCTGTTTCCTTTGTTGCCGTGGCAATTATATTTAACATCCTAAAGTTAGAGTCGACTCTAAACCAGCTTATCCAGCAAGCCTCCTGAACCTTGGCCTTTTCTTTTGTAAGAGAAGAGAATCTGTTCTGCCCGTGTTAGAGGATTTCTGTAAGGCTCAATACGACAATCGGTGTAAAAGCTCCCAGTAAACCATCGAACACATGCACGTTACGAACTCTTATTAATGCTCTTTCCTCATAATTGCATTCTAGATCTGACTAACGGGAGACAATAGTGATTTTTGAGTTGAAAATATGGATAAGAGTGTTTAAATTCATTTATAATCAGATTTCTTAGAACTATAACTATCTTGTCTTCCAGATCTTATTTTTTTCCTTTAACTCTTTACTCCAACAAGTGTGTACTGGGGACTGTTCTCCCCACACTGAGCCAAGGTGCAGGAAGAGCAGAGGCTTTGCCCTGCCTCGGAAGGGCAGAAGATGCAGCTGGGGGACACACTTGACACATAGGGAAACCTGAACAGCAGCCCAGGAATGAGCCCCTGTAGAAGACACAATGGGACAGGCCCCGAGGGCGGGGTGACAGGCCACTGGAGCAGGAGGGAAGTGGAACCGAGCTAGGCTTGCAGGATGGGGCCCCGTGTGTGAAGGGGAAGGAGGAGGGACCATGTGAGCAGCTCCAGTAGGAATAGGAAGGCATGGGGGGAACCGTCTCCTCACAGATCACAGACAACACACTGCAAGTGTCCTCGTTGCTCTTGATTTTGCAGGTGGCATCTGAGGCGAGAAACGGATTTGCCCAAGGTCACACAAGTAGTTAATGGTGGAGTTGATTCTAGAACTCTGCTGGATTTGTTGAGCCTTAAGCACTAAAGTCCCTGTGAGTGGTGACACTTGTCGTCATAGCACCACTCACTGTAGTGAAGTTCAAGAGTGTAAAAGGCAGGGAAAGGCTAGGGGTGCAGCTCAGGACATGTTGGTTTGCGCAATACCTTGGGTTTCATCCCTAGCACCTCAGAAGAACAAAATTAAATTAAAGTCAGGGGACTGGGGCTGGGGCTGTGGCTGTGGCTCAGTGGCAGAGTGCTTGCCTAGCATGTATGTGTGAGGTGCTGGGTTCGATCCTTAGCACCACATAAAAGTAAACAAACAAAATAAAGGAAGGCTGTGTATCTACAACTACGAAAAATAAAAATAAAAAAGAAGGGACCAGAAACCAACCATGGTGTGTAGTGTAAGCTAGCATAAAGTTAGCTCTTAACATGGTTAAGAGGAAGACAGCGCACAGCCTGCCACGGGGAGACCCCAGAGTGGACCATTGAGTGACACTTAGCACACACTCCCTCCATTTGCCTGGCGCAGCATACCCTGTGTCCTATCTCCATGTAGATAACGTGTCCAGGGATCTAAGTCAGGGTGTAGGAGGATGCACCCCAGCAGATGGCCCCTTTAGGGGTGGGCGCAGGGCCTCCAGGGCTCGATGCTCCATAACATTGCTCACGCACCCGCGCATTCCCGTGAGCCTGGCTTCAGGGTCATCCTGGAGATCAGGTCCTTCCCCTGGGCAGGTTTATGCTGGTCTTGGCCCCATAGCCTGCTTGGAGTGAGACAGATACAGGGCTGTGGACAGAAAGTTTTTCATAATTCCTGTGATGCTGCTTCTGTGCACAATAGATTAATTTAGTAGCATTCAGCAAGCGTTTCTAAAGTACCTACAATGTCATCTGAAGTTTTATGTGTTTTAAGAACCTAAAGGGACTTCAGTTGAAAGCAAATGAGATTACAGATATTCAAGGCCTTGCATTGCTAAGTATTCTGTCCATCTGAGTTACTTTGTGATGCGATATAGGGCCTCAGAGGTCTAATCTTGTGTGAGGGCACAAGCAAGCCTCCTCTCTGTCTCTCTCTCTCTCTCTCTCTCTCTCTGTCTCTCTCTCTCTCACACACACACACACACACACACACACATACACATACATACACACACAAACTGTATGTGAGCCCATCTACAGTGAGTTCAGATGAGGAAGCTAGAGCCACAGAGTTTGAAGGAAGATGAACCCATCCAGACTCTAATCCGAACAAGGTTTTGTGGGATGGCCTTTGAGATAGGACTCCAGTGCCTCGGGTGGCAGCAGGTTTCCTAGGCAGGAGCGGTGCTAGAGAAAGGGAGAACTTGAGCACAGCGTGGGAGTCACAGACTTGACCTCTAGTTGAGCCTTGTCCTTGTTCCTGTTCTCACTCTTGTCTATCCGAGTGCTGACGGAGCCACTGAGCTACAGCTGTCATGGTGACATGTAGCCTGCCCCGTGGAGAACTTGGTCTCCAAGCCCCAGTGGCCTGTTGTGACACCTTCCTTCTTTTGTGATAGCCCACTACTTTTCCCTGCTCCTCTAGATCCTGAGCGCCTCCCCAGCTGTGGCCAGCACCTGCAGGTGCACATGATGAGTGGAACACTGAGTTGGACGTCCGTGTGACGGGTTCCCCACAGGGGAACAGAGGCAGGCTGTTGTCTGGTGGTCATCGGGGTGGTTCATTTTCTTTTTTTTTCCTCTCTGCTGCTTTTCCTCCTAACTCAGTGTGTCTTCTCTCTGCAGATGAAGCTACTAAACTTATACATAAAGAGGGCACAGACCACCAACAGCAACAGCAGCTCCTCCTCCGACGTCTCCACGCACAGCTAGTGGCAGTGCCAGTCTCTGTGCAGAGTCAAACGCCATCGGTGGTGCCTCAGACCCCCATCGGCTGCCCAGTCAGTACGAGGAGGCCCGCACATATTTATTACAATCAGTATTTTGGTCCCTTCCAGCTTTTGTGTAGAATCTTACTGGTATTGAATGTAACGGAAGCAAGGCCTGTACCGCAGTCTTCGTAGAGACGAAAGGAATGAGAACAACAAGAGCCATACTTACACACGTCTTGTACCGCCTGTTGCAATCACAAAATCATGTATGTGGGGTGCAGTTTTTAACAATCAGAGCTCTCTAGCCAATGCTTGGTAGACAGTAGCTTTTTTTTTTTTTTCCAATTAATAATGGATGTGGGGGTGTTCCTTATTCTCAGCTTACATTCTTATGAATATGGCCTGTGTGAGGCGAAGCCCCCTACTCTTTTCCCATCTGATACCAAGAAAGGGTGCATGTCTTTAGGTTGGTTTTGAGACCTCCTAAAAGTGGAACTCGAGCCTTAGCAGGAAAAGGAGAAGAGCTGGAAGCTGGTCTGTCAGTCAGCTCACGCAAAGTGGAGCCGGCTGTCCTGGCTTGGAACACAGGGTCAGGAAGGCCCCTCTGAACAACTCATCAGATGTCCCTGCCCCAGAGCTGCCATGCCAGAAGAATTCTTGAAGTATAAGTCCAACCATACTTAGAATTGATTGCATCCATCAGAGATGGATCGCATCATGTGATGCGCAGAAGGTATAAGTCTGTCTCTCTCCCTGCTAAGGTCTTGGGGAATGGCTGTTGAGATAGGGGTTCTCCCAGGACTCCCCGGGTCAGTAATTCAAATCTGGTGCCATCTCCCTTCCCTCCCCATCAGCTTTGCCTAAGCTGTTCAGTTCTAAAATGTTCTCAGCTAATCTAGCAAACGCCTACTTTTACCAGCCCAGTTTTGGCTTCTCTATGTAATTTGAGATCAAGAGCAAAAAAAAAAAAAGTGTAGAAAAATCATGTTTATCCAAATCATTTTTAATTTTATAAGTTGAAGTACTTCCTTGATTGTTAGTCACTGTTTAAGGTGAGCGGCAGATGGCAGAACTACAGGATTTGAAACACACCTTTAGAGTCTGTTTCCTTCCCAGGGAAACCACCGGCTCCCTTTTTAAGCTCTTTAGGGTGTAATTGCTACAAAGAAATGAGTCTTGAGTAAAGTTCTTAAGCCAGATGGCAGTCTAATGCAATCATGAAATCATCTGCCATCACTTACTGTTAGATCCTCTGATTGAACTGACCCTCCATAAGGAAAGTGCTTCCTTGGACATTAATTTTAGTGAGGTCTTGGCTGTCCCAGTGCAGAGTCCTCTGCAGCTGTGAGGACTGAAACCAAGGCTGAGGCACCGGAGTGTGTGCTTCTCATCCCCCATTCCCACCACCCCCTCTCTGGCCCTCTAGATTTGACAGGGGAAGTTGTGAAAGATAGGTAATATATTTGGAAACAGATACTGAGTATGAATACCCCCTGATTTCCAGGTGTGTGTGTGTAGGGGATATCTTATCAGGTGTCAGTTACCCCACTACTGCTGCTTAGGGAACTTGAGGGGTGCATCTAAGTGGTTGACTATTATTGACTGACTTTGGCTCAAAACAGCAGGACCAGGCCTTACTTTCAATGATAAATACTGTTCGTGTGTTTGCTTGTTAATAGTTCATTAATGGGATTTTGTTTTTATACTCTCCTGAGTCCCAGCATCTGTTGGTCGCCCCTCTGTGTGGAAACCCGTCCTGGTGAGGTCTTCTCTATGGGTTCTCCTACACCTAATCAGTCAGACCCTTCTTCTGGAGCTCTTTGGCTTCCAAAAGGTCACCACACCCCCAGTGTAGTTGGAAGGCTCTCGAACATTGCCTGATGTCCTCCCGTACTTACAAAGGGCTAGCCTTGAATGTCACTTGCGCCCTCTTCAATCTCCTGACTAGAGACAGAGAACAATCACTTCACAGGTCATTTGGCCTCAATCTGAAAATCGCTGCCCACCGTGCCACGCCGAGGAGACTCGCATGCCGCCACCACCTCACCAGGGTGGCTGTGTCCACGCCGGCTGCCCTCCAAACCCTGACAGCGCAGCTGCCTTGCCTTGCCGCCACCCTCTGCAGGGCTCCTGTTCAGATGAAACCATGGGACACCCCAGAGCAGAGCAAAAACTGTTGCCTCCCATCTGCCTGACTGTCCAGGGCCTCGGACGCTCTCTTGCCCCAGGCTAGGGGCTGGTTCATCTGACTCTGCTTCCCTGAAAGCTGCTGCCACCCTCCTCAGACCACAGTCCTGCAGGTGCAGCCGGTCCCTGAGGCACGCGGCTTTCTTCAAGTGCACTGCGTGCGCTTCTGGACCCGGTGCCACAGGGGGCCCCCTGCAGCCTCTTCTGTGGCTCACACTAGCTTCCCAGCCCCCCAGGTAATGCAGATGATTTTGTCTCATCAACCCTTTTCTTTCCCTGCCACCCTTACTTATCAAGCATAATAATACACTTTAAAAGACAGCAAATAAGGACTTCGTAGAACCCCAAGACTCTGCTAACAATGTTTGGAAATGAGAAAAGAAATGCTCTGAAAAATATCAGCCACCAAAATAGTTTTGGCACTGTGTTCACGCGCATGGCCCCCACACCCGGATTGGGTGTTTTGTTTTGGTTGGGTTTTTTTGGGCTTTTTCATGTTACATCCATATCTGTATTTATATCTTATTTGTTTCACTTTCAAGTGTATCATGGCAAATGTACAGATTTTTTTGTTAATAATGTGCTAGGATTTGCTAAAAAAGAAAACAAACAAAAAAAACCCTTTTGAGTTTGCCCTAGAATAAATGAAACTTAATTCAGTTTCCTGCGTTGATGATTCTGTACTGCCAACGCGCCCTGCGGATTCCTTATCCCATCAGAACAAAGTGATATTTCCAAACAATTCCGGAGGACCGCCTCGTGATGTAGAGGTCAAGTCACCAAGGAAATGTCCCACCTGACTGGCCCCTTGGGAGCCAACTGCCGGTGATGTGTGGGGCGGGAAGGCTGGGGATGAGGACAGTGGTGTCACCCCAGCCCTGCTCCGGGGGCACCTTGCTTGTCTGGGCCCCATTTCCTTCATCTGATCAGTGAGAACATCAGCTTCCAGAAAAGCGGAAGCAGAAGGCAAGCCTTGACCTTAACTCCTGAGACTAGACCAAAAGCTGCCGACACAGGCTGGTCCCCCACACTGCTGCCATCTCTTGGGGACTTGGGGCACCAGCAAGAATAGGTCTTAGAAGAAGCATGCACCAACCTCAAGGGTTCCACCTTTGAAGCCTTTAAAAATGTTTTCCCAATTTCCTAGAATACAAAAGAAACATAACACAAGATTTGACGTCTTAATCTTTTGAAGCGCACGTTTCAGAGGTTTTAAATGCAGTCTCCATGCACAGACATCACCACCGCTTGGAAGGCTGAGGCTCCTGGAGGCTCACTTGAGCCCAGAGTAAAGTTCAACGCCTGCCTGGGCAACATAGCAAACTTCTGTCTCAAAGAAAATACTTTAAGGCTGGGGCTGTTGCTAAGTGGCAAAATCCTCGCCTTGCATGTGTGAGGCACTGGGTTTAATCCTCAGCACCACATAAAAATAAGATAAAGGCCTGCTGTCCATCTACAAGTACAAAAAAAAAAACTTTAAAAATAGCGTAGCTCTCTAGCAGACTGCTTACCTGGCATATGCAAGACCCTAGTTTCAATCCCCAGTACCAAAAAGAAAAATATTGAGTTTTCCATCATGTTCTATGATGCATCTCAAATGCCACTGTCCTGTGACTCTGTGTCCCTGATCCTGTGATTCTGCTGTGTCCCCCTGTGAGAAGTCCCTGCCAAGTACTGGCATCACACATACTTGGGTTTGAATCTCAATCCACCTCTCCTCGCTTGGGCAAAGTCACTTCACTTCCTGCCTCAGTCTTTGATCGGTTGGGTTAAGAAGTAGCTGGTGGAGGTCCTGTCAGGATTGACAGGACGGCAGAGAAGCAGCCCTCGGGATCAATGCTCAGGTCCTGATGGTCGCCTGCCTTACCTCTCCCTGTGGCCTGAGATACCCAGCACCGAGAAGCCGGCCCTTCCCTCCTGAGCATTTGCTCCTATGGTCAGAGTCCATTATTCATTAGCAAAGTGGAAAACCCCTGGGGGAACATACTAGGTGCAGGCCAGGCAAGCACTTGGCTATTTTTAGTTCTCTGGCTCCTGGTGCCATTGCCCTTCCTTATCTAAGGGCTACTGGGAAGTCCTTGCCATTTTAAATAGGGTCCCAGGCCACCAGCCTGTCTTGACTTCGGCATCTGAATGGTCTTCTTTCCAGGAAATGGGACCTTTACTCAGTTTCACACAAAATGAAGAAAAATCATGAAGACCCCTGCTCCCGCCAGGTAGGCTGGTGCACACCTGCGATCCCAGCTACTTAGAAAGCTGAGGCAGGAGGATCACAGGTTTGAGGCCAGCGTGGGCAACTTGTCAAGTCCCTGTTGCACTAAAAAATACAAAGGTCTGGGATGTAACTTGGTGATAGATGCCCCTGGGCTAAATCCCCGTACCACAAAAAAAAGAAGAAGAAAAATAAAGGCCCCTTCTCTTGACATTCTTAGATCCACATGGAGGTGGGGGCACTTGAGAGGCGGCATTCATATCCTTTGTGGGGCATTTATTTAACACTTCTGAAAAATTGGCTTCTTTATCATCTCCTGATTTTTACATCAATCCTGAGCTAAGAGAGAGAAGGGAGATCCTTTCATGTTCAATCTCCAGATGAGGAGATTGAGGCAAAGGAAAAACCCCCTCCAGATGGTGACAGATGGAGTTGGGGCCAGAGCCAGCGCGTGGGCCTCACAGCTCCCTTCCCTACCTGAATGTTACCTGCCGAGCATATCAGGATCCTGTGGGGGCTTGGGAAGCAGATCCTTGGGTCTGTCCCCCAAGGTTGCCAATCATGGAATGCTGTGTTGGGGGCTGAGAATGTGCCTTTGTGGGTTTTTATTTTGTACCAGCGATAGAACCCAGGCCCTCGCACGTGCTAGACAAGCCACTCTACCACTGAGCTCCACCCCAGCCTTTGGAGGTGGTTTCTAGCAAGTTCCCAGGCCATGCTGATGCAGCTGACCAGTGTCTCCGTGTACCATACAGAGCTGTTTCCGTGCATTTCACTTAAAACCTGAGAAGGGCTTTGCTCCCAAACTTTGGGACAATCCTCAAGACAGAACGTCGTCCTGAGGACTGTCATGCCTGTTATTGCAGGTAACTATGGTGACCAGCTAATTTAGTATCTAGGAACTTTTGTTTTTCCAGTGCTGGGGATCAAACCCAGGTGTGCTCTACCACTGGGGACATCCCCGGCCCCTTTATTTATTTATTTAAATTATTTTTTGAGACAGGGTTTTGCTGTTGCTCAGGCTGGCCTTGAACTTAGGATCCTCCTGTCTCAGTCTCTGAGTAGCTGGGATCACAGGTGTGTACCCCACATCCAGACAGGGGCTTTTGAAATGAAATGTATGCCATTTTAGAGGGGAAACCAGTATCTCAGGCCAGTAGTCCTCGGGTCCCCTGGGCACAAAGCTCTCTCCTCAAGGAATACTGTTTCTACCGAGACTCAACCCAAACTCCGCCTGGCCTTAAACATTTCCTCCAGTATTTATTAACTCGTACTAAAGTGGTTCCAGGCAAGAACGGACAAAGGTCAAGTGAATGGGCATCTAAGCCCAGATTATGTATTTAAAAGACATTCAAATGCTTCCATTGTGCCCTCCCCAGCTGGGCCTGCTGCCAGGGCTGAAACCCAGGTTAAGGTGTCAGGTCCTCAGTCCCCTCCTGGAGGTGCTGCGTTTCCTGGGACGGTTCCCAGCAACTCAAGGGTGCCCCTGCCTGCCCTGGTGCCTGGGTTCCAGAGGGGACAGTCCCAGGGAATCAAGGGCTGGGGCCAAAGGACAGAGCCACCTCTGTGCCTCTGCACCCCATGGTGAGGTGAAAGGCTCCCAAGGTGTGTCCAGCGCCAGCACCTGGTCAGTGCCCCTCCTCTGGTCTCCTGCCTCCTGGTCAGCAGTCCTGCAATTCTCATGCTGCAGCGTCAGTAGTGACAATCGCTGGCACCTTCTGGGTGCTTCTTACCTGCCAAGTTTTGTTCCATGCTTTGCTGAACCATCCACAAACAATCCTAGGAAGTTGGTCCTATGATTATTTCCATTTTACAGACAGGAAACAGGCGCAGCTGGGTTGAGTAACTTGCTTTGAGTCACAGAACTAGTAAGGCAGAGGTGGGATTGGTGGGACTCAAATCCCACCATCCTGCTTTGTCTCTGCTCCTTCTGAGTCTCTGTCCTGTCTCCCATCCACCTGACTCTCATGATCAAGTTCCCGAGGCCTGCTGGGGTTGGCCGACACTAAGCTCATGGTAGATGCTCCGGCAGCACCCCTGGGGACTGTCTACTGGGCCTGGGAAGGAGGCAGACCCCACTTGTTCTGAGGAGGCAGAGAACCAGGAGAAGGGGCAGTTAATTTCAGTGATGTGGATGATGTTCATGATTTATAAATTAGTAGTGGGCTTAGGATGATTGTTTTACTACAGCTTATAACAAATGTATGGGCTTTTTTCCTATCATCAAATACTTAATAATTTAAAAAATGTATGGGAGGTACCCCTGTAAGCCCAGCAACTGGGGAGGCTGAGGCAGGAGGATCACAAATTCAAGGCCAGCCTCAGAAACTTAGTGAAACCCTGTCTCAAAATAAAAAATACAAAGGGCTGGGGATGTGGCTTATTGGTCAAGGAACTCTGGGTTCAGTCCCTGGTACCAAAAAAGCCTTGAACTTGTGATCCTCCTGCCTTGACCTCTTAAGTCTCTGGGATTGCAGGCGTGTTCCATGGCTCCTGGCTGGATGAGATTATTGTTGATTCTTCAGATTGTCATAGACTTGAAAACCCCCAAATTAAAAATCTTGTAGAGAATTTACAGATCTCTGAGAATACATCTGAGGATCCCATTCAAGGAATACCAGTGCACAAGGGACCCCAGTGTCCTAACAGGCCTGTGTCTGAGGGGATGACCCCCAATACAGGACACCCTTCCTCACCCAGCATGGGGACTGTAAGCCAGAGGATCTTCCCTTTTTCCCGTAGGGCTTCCTGCAGCCACTCAGGCCCTGTTGCAGTGTGAATGTCCCCCACACTCCTTTGAAATTGAGTTACCATTGCAATGCTATTGGGACTTTCAGGAGGTGACCAATGGGTGTCACGTTTACTGGTGGATTAATGCTGCCATCATGGCCATGAGTCCATTATCTCAAGAATGGGTTCCTGAGGAAAGGTCAAGCTTGCCTGGCTTCTGGCCTCTTGCTCCCCACTGTCTGTGACCGTTCACCACATTATGATACAGCACAAGGCCCTTCGCAGATGTGGGAACCATGTTCTTGGTCTTCACAGCCTCCAGAATTGTAAGAAAATAAACCTCTGTTCTTAATAAATTACCCAGTCTAGGGTATTCTGTTACAGTAGCTGAACAGACCAAGAGAGGCCCCCCTCAACAAGTGGTGCTTTGTCCCCTGTTCCTGTTCAACTCACTTCTTTCCCACCTGATTTTGCTTCCAAATAAAGGCCGAAAGGAAAAACAGTTCTGATCTTGTTCACATGAGTATTGGTCACAAAGGACCCTGTGTTTTCAGCCAAGTATAAGGTCTCTCAGATATTTTCCAAAAGAATAGGAAAGACCTTAGAAAGACACTCAGAGGGGCAGGTGCCTGGGGAGAAGGCTGGAAACATCAGGCTGCAGAGGAGACAAGTGGAGTCTAAGGGGATCGGCTTGCTTGACGCCTTCCCCAGCCCTTCC